CTCTTTCACTTCATCATCATATCTTGAATGCTTTGAGGAAAATTGTTATTCGTAGAAATTGGACAAAGCCTAAGTACTTATGTTTATTGGCTCAATGAACTAATAACATATCTAGTACAACGAGTTTCATAATATAAATCTCTGCCTTCAGTGTTTCTGCGAAAATACACATTGTGTATTATAAGGTGATTTTAAAAGTACTCTTTCCACGAACCTCCTTTTCTCTAGTGCTGCATAATTCTGTACAGAAACAGCATCAAAATGAATAGTCATATTATGAATGATACTCAGTATGCTTTCAACAACCACATATTATATTGTCTTTTATTTGTTGTACTTTCTTCTACAATACAGTATTTCTTCCAATGAACCCACGTATTCTACTCGAATGTTGTTTTATTTTTTCCATTTTGTTCTGTTGGTCGAGTTCGCAACATTTTCTATTCGAAGACTGTATTGACTACTTAGTTGTTCTTTTGTTTATTTTATAGGTGACTGGAATTGAACTTGAGCGTATTATGTGACGTCATAAAGGTTATTTGGTGTATGTTGTGGTCATCATTGCAATGGTACATATATTTCACAAACCGTTAGTCATGACGTCGCGAGTAGTGCAGAGTTAGACTTCACTGTCGTATTTCTTCAAAGGAAGAGCTTCGGGAAGCACGTTGAGTCGTTGTTCTACGTACGTGGCTAGTCGCCGTGTCCTCGGGTTAAAGTGAGGCAACAGAAAGTGCACTCTGATATCACCTTGCAGTAAGTTGACTGTTATAATTTTTTGGTCGCTTAGATCAAAATATTGGGGAAGAAGTCATTGGCATATATTATTTAAAGATGCTATTATCAGCTCTTTTGTTTGGTTTCCGAGTTGTAACAGAAATCCAAGGCACTAACCAAAACTTTACTTGGCTAGAGAGTTAAAATAATATCTATGTTTATAAAGATGGGAACTAAATTAACAAAGCAAAGCTATAATTTTTCACCCTTATCATAAAAGTAAGTCCTTTTTGTTAAGTAGTAGCACTTTGAAACCGGCAGTCTTAGAGTCAATAGTAACAACCATTCGGCCTATGAGAACGACCCAGGAAATGCTTCCTTAAATATAATATGTAATATATCACAGAAGGGAAATTCGATCAAGCAAGAGCGCTTATATATCAAACGACCCAAACATGTAATTGAATATTACGAACGTATTTTGCAAACCAAATATAAGGCCGATTGGATAGAAACCGCCGCCACAGAGGGTGTCCATTTCCCAAATCCGCAGTGAGGCAATAAAGTGGTAGGCAATAAATAACAGATAGAACACCGAAGCATGGAAGTGGTCGGTGCAGTTTGCCGTGCATTGCGTTTACTACAATGTTGCTGCTTCCAACTTGTATATTGTTCACATATTTTTTCTGGGATCTTCTTCATTGTCACCTTTACATTGTTTGTCTTTGTCTTTGCAAGAAAATGGTATAATTTCTTCCCAGTGATCGGATAGAGATAAACTTATAACAGAATCAAACTTAATATCCAAAGGTAAAGAAGGCAGTCAAAAACGTTTCACAACGGATTCTGTGACGCGCACGAACGTGGCGGATTCTGTGGACTGTGATTGTGAATGCGTGTCCACGTCTGTGACTGTTAGCGTAGAAAAAGTGATGTAATTGTTACCAGTATGCTCAAAAAAGGCCGAAACCTATAAACTGCTACGTTGATAATTTATTTTCAGTCATTCAATCGGAGGGTAATACAATGACCTTTATCATAGCTAACAAATAAATCAAGTCTCCTACTATCACGCGAGCCATTTCTAGAAAATACAAAGACTAGCAAAGCTTCATTGTTTTAAGAATCAAACTCATTTTATTTGACGGATAGGCTGAACATGAAGTCATGAGAGGCAGTTTAAGATGAAGTATAGTGTAAGAGGGAACATTGTTATCTTGCTAAGTCCCTGCGACGCTGGCTCGAAGCCAGCGGACAACGGGATCTGCGAAATAAGACAAATTTTGGCAAATGTTATCTCAACTTGAGCCTGTGTCTTCATTATATACTTAGTGCCTGCCTTATTGATGTAGGTAGCTGACTGCTGTGAAATTATTTTCGATTCTAGTTTAGTAATATTAAAATCTATTTTTAAAGTGTGTTATTTAGTAAGCATGTTTTAAAAATATGTTACAAAACGCTACTATTTGTTTCGGCGTTTTAATGTACGGTCGAATTATATGATTCTATTTACCATCAACAAATTTATCCTTGTGTCGAATGAATAAGATAACTTTTATACACGTTTCAGACAACTTTACTCAAATAAAAAGTGTTATTTTGATTACAGGTTAAATAAAATCCAGAAATTAACAGACAGGATTGCAATCTTAATTTTCAGAAAGTAATTTTTTCATGGGATAAGCCGATAAACGAACAGAATGTACCACCTGATTGTAAGCAATCGGCGTCGCCTATGGACACCAGAGGCGTTACAAGTGCATTACCGGCCTTTAGGAGATTAGGAATTTGAGGATTCTTGGGATTGGGTGAGAGGGGTAACTGCGGTAACCTCACTCACACGACGAAACACAACGCAAGCGTTGTTTCACATCGGTTTTTTGTGAGGCCGTGGTATTATTCCAGTTGAGCCGGCCCATTCATGGCGAAGCATGGCTCTCCCACACTTAAGGTTAAATAAAATTCAGAAATTAACACAATGGATCGCCATCTTATATTCCAGTAAGTAATAGTCGTTTAATGAAACTTTTCTCTAATTCATTTGTTAAGGTGAAAGTAATTTAAGTTTGTGAAGGTGTTATTTGTTTAACTAGTGTGTTTTTCCGTTGAATGAAGCGTTTATAATGGCCCCATAAGTTTCGAACTTGGTGTTATTATGAACTATTAGAAAAAGTTCTTAAGTAATCACTTGTACGTACTTAACTTGGTACAAAGGATCCACGAAGTATTCTTACATGGTAGTGGCATTTAAGTTTATTACTGTGCGTTCATTATTCGCAAATAACTTAACTGAATAGAAAAATTGAACTTTTTTTTAGAATGTCAAAATATTTTTTATTTACAGATAATAAAATATATACTAACTATTGCTAAATTAAATATAATCAACTTAAGATAAAAATAAAATAAAGTAAAACTAAAAACAACAATTTACACAAAGCATCGAAAATTTAAATTTCGTCCGCATCGACGTCAGTCGGAGAATACCCAGAAGGCTAGCAGCATTGCCACGTTGTATGGCAATGCGTAACCTCTGACCGAGAAAAAAACCAACCCTCTGGTCATGAGATGCGTCGACCAGGCGTTTTGAAATCTTTTTGAATTTAGCAACCAAACTTTTGGAATCAAGCTAGATCGGTTTAAATTGCTCTATACATAATTTTTATGTTACTGCTGCATGCTATCTTATATTTTATACTATTATATAAAGCTGAAGTTTTTTTGTTTGTTTAAATGCGCTTATCTCAGAAACTACTGGACCGATTTCAAAAATATTTCTTGTTTTGGATAGTCAATTTATTGAAAAAGGCTATAGGTTATAAAACATCTCGCTACGAAAGGACCCGATCAGAGCGGGTGGAACCACGTAGCAAAGAGCTAGTTTGTTAATGTAATTTATTGTAACTGAAGTAGCCAGATGTATAAATTTATTGTCAATTTTATATATAGATATATCTAGTATGCACAGATCGGTTCATAAATTTTAGTTATTGCATTGAAAATTAGCAAATATACGCTATATCTGTTGCTAAATTCGGTTTTCTGAACACGTACCCATATTGCAATATGAAATCTGAATATTGTGCAAATTATTTTGATTTAATAATACTCGAGGGTCAGTTACTGGTTCAGTTTTGGACGCATTCGTCACTATTAGAGATATTATTATACTCTTTAATGGTATCTCTGATAAGTACAAGGTTCCATAGTATTCGTACCTAACTACTACTACCTATCTACCACAAAATTTTTGTGTTTTATATAATATAATTACATTCAGAATTCTTAAAAATAAAATGTAAATATAATTATTATGAACATAGAAAAATGTTTTTTTTAAACGTTGCCCCACACAACGATTTTCTCATGTGTCGTGGTTGCGTTTATAAACATACAAGTTTACATACACATGACACACATGACACCCAGACCCGGAACACCAATCTGTGGATCACACAAAGAGTTGTTCCGTGCGGGAAATACTAACGGGTACTCTTCACATTATTATATACCTACTGTCCTGACAACAACGATGTACACTTTTCAAGCGAGCAACAAAATAATAATTATCAATTTTAATGCACCCATATGATAGTTGTGTGCATATATTTTGTAGAACAATTTTATTTGAAAAATATTAAAGAAAAGTTAATATAAGCAAGTTACTCTTCTTATATTCTTGTTCTTCTATCAAATAGAAGCAAATTAGCTTATTAAAAAGTTTTTCACGCTAACCGCTATGGAGCGATATTTTTATGGTCATTGTATGAACAGACTTGTCCGTGGCGAGGCGTAGCGTGTATATAGGTAATATTTTAATAAGTAATATAATAGGTTTAATGCAATTTTTTATTATAAACGCTCCTATTTATTAAAATTTAATTGGGACAAGCGTGGAATTAAATATACCCGATTTATTAATCAGCTATGTGAACATATGTGTTTGAAATAAGTGATAATTATAAAGCACTTCTACAATTAAAATTGTGCATGATATTATTCGATTAAGCTTAAATTTATCCGCTTAAGTTTATTTATTTTATTTGTCAGTAAAAAATGTTTATTCAAACTACTACCATACTAACCAGTGAATACCAGTAAATAATAAAATTTCAAAGGACGCACTTAATTCAGATAAAAACAGAACATGTTCACATTAATTACACAAAACATCATAATTATATTAATCTCTGAACCCATTCATCAAAAAAGCTGCACGTTTTCCAGACTTCCCTCCCATTAGACACGACCCCTCAAAAGCGTGAACAGAAAAAAATAAGAAAATGAAAAACCATTACATCTTGAAAACATATTGCAAAAGAATTTTCTTAATCGGCTCCGGAAATTTCTGGTACAAGGAAAGCGAAATAGGCAACGATCAAAGCCTGCTTTATAGGACATACAACGCTGTACTGTATTTTATATATGGTTTCATGACAATATTAGAAATAATGGCGGCCACGATGGGCGACTTTCCCCCAGACGAGAAACGTGACTCCGTGAGCTTCGCCGTCAGTCATACAATAGTTATGATCAAAATATTTTCGGTTATTGCCAACAAATCGTTGATAAAAAAGCTGAACCATAAAATGGTGACAGTTTGCGAAAGATACGAAGAAAATACGTTGATGGCGGAGAAATATAAGATCATGAAAATAAATGTTCTCGCCTACTTTGTGACCGTTTATGCGTCGGCATTTTTCTTTGTTTTCGAAGGACTAAGGAAGATGTTAACAGGTGAGTTAATTTCCTTTTAATGAAATTTGACCTTAAATGTAACACGTGTAAGTTCAATTTTATTTTAGAATTGTTTGCTTTCTAAATTGTTTATTAAATGTTCTGTTTCATCGTTATAAAATGAGTCTTTCATGGAAGAAAAGAACACTGAGTGAATTTTCATGAATGAGGTTTCTTGGAAAGGTATTGCCATTCATTTGCATTGGTACAATTTAAAATAATGTTTTTTAATGTTATTGAATAATTCAAAGACCGTTTTTATTGAAAAGATATTAGTTTAAAATAATATAAAAGTTAAAAGGTACCCAAAAACTAAAGGGTAACATAAATACAAGTATACAATTTAATGTCTGAAATAGGCAACTATTCTTTTAACTAGTTACAGAATAAATATTGAAAATGACCTTTGAAAAGTAAAACGAACTAGATAAAATATAACTCTTTACCATGAAATACCATATACATATTATTATCCACATAGTAATTCTTTCTCCGTGCGGTCCTCACGTCACAGTCGTACTGATGTCTATTAACAAGATATCAATGTATGCAACATATAATACAAAGCTATTTTTAATAGTTTTAAGAATAAAAAAAACATTTATTTTATGATAGGCGACTATCATGACATAGGCTGAATTAACTAAAAATAACGATTACTTACTTACGCTACGCGATGTCGTCACGACCGCACACACTGCTTATGAGGGAGAGTCCCACTCTGTGACTCGAAACTAGTAGAGCTTTTCTCAATTATTTTTAGTTAATAAGGAGATCATTTCTAAATTATGAAATGTCCTAGTAATGAGGAGGAAATAAAAGGTTGAAATATTGATGAATTATGCTCCAATTCTATAACATCATTTTATTTTCTAGGATCCCATTTTGTGACAGTTGTAACGTACTATCCTAAGTTTGAAGATGACTCAATAGGGGCCACATCTGCCCGAGTCCTTGCAACAGTAATTTTGTACATTTTAATGATAACTATGATCATGTCTGTAGACTCCTTCACAATGATTTACTTGATCATGTATAAATACAAATTCATAACATTGAAACAATATTTTGAAAATTTGAGAGAAGAAGTCAATGCGCTAAATGCTATACGGGAGTATGACATGGCTGCCGAAAAAATGGCTGCTGGTCTCGTTGAAGGAATACAAATGCATAATACACTATTAAGGTATGTAATTTTCTTTCCTTACTGAACTAAAAATACGTTTTTTTTGTATTTACCTTAATGTCAGGTAGGAAGGCTCTAATGCGGAAATCACAAGTGACTATTCTGGACTCTCTAAGTAACATTAAGTTTTTGCCAAAATGCTGATATTAAGTAATTCTGACCTTCATCTATAGTTACTAATCTGATCGTTTACCATCAGGTGATCCGTCAGCTCGTTTGCCTCCTATTCCATAAAAAACCAACAATATATTTTAAATCTCGAATATTTTAAAATTGTTAACATTTAAAAAAAATCGAAATCGCTATTACATAAACTACCAAAAAACAACCATCCCCTTTGTATTCAGTTTCAAAGATACTAGTCACAACATAAAAAGAATGATCTCGTAATTAAGATAAAAAAACTAAATTAATTTTAAATCCAAGCTCCTTTGTAAATAAATGTTTTAATTTCAAAGAAGCTCAGTTTACGAGGTCGTGTCTGTCAAGGTCAATCCAATGTCGGCCGCCATAATTCTTTTTACTTCATCAGGTTATCCGGAGATATCGACAAAGCGTTCGGTACGGTGATGGCTCTCCAAGTTTGTCAAAGCTCAGGGTCGGCCGTCTCTCTCCTACTTCAAATTGCCGTAAGTAATCACATTGTTGTTCCCCTGCCTTGCCTTGGGAGTTTAACTAAACTATGTGTTATTTGGATTGATTGTTCAATCTTTTATTGTTTGTTTGTTTGTCTTAGATTTTGTTAAGGATTAGAATTGAGATTTGGGTTTCAAATACCTATTTGGGTACCTACCTGCTTTAAGAAATTTAATAATAAATAAAAAAGAATTCAAGAATATTTAAAAAAATATTCATTCTCAATAAGATTCAGGAATGGTGGAGTTATCATTATTGTGATTGACATACTGTGGCGACGCATGCCACATGTCAACGGATGACGTCACAAGAATCCTACATCGCACATGCAAAGTTTACAAACGAATAAACACAGATAGAAAATCCCAACGAACAACTGTTGGGCAGAAAGCCCGCCAGGCACGATCACCTCGCCTGGTCGGAGGATCCTCCTTTTCCGATCTTAGGGAACTATACACTCTGTTCCCTAAAGTGGTGACCCCGACGTGATTGGAAGCAACCTTCACTTCACGGAGCAGATCAGCACCGTCATCCGTATCGCCATCCCTCTCATTCATCATTTCTCCGCTGAGCGGTAACCAAGTCGCAGCCAACCAGCATCCTCGGCCTCATCAGGGACCACCATTACCTGCAACGAAGTTGTGCAGCCTGGTTCTTCCCTACGGCCTCACCAGCGTCTAGGCACAGCACTTCTGCACACGGTCTGAAGGACACCTCCTCCCGTCAACGCAGATGCCGGCCACTACGCACCTACCCTCGCAGCATCTCTTCCCCGACTCACCGTGGGACACTGCGAACTCATCTCTCCGACTCACTGGAGTTTCACCCTGCACCGCTGACCCGACTCACTGGGCACTCAGCGGCACAGTTCCGACTCACTGGAACTAGGGACTTTCTACACTGGTTCTGGCACCGCTCATCTCAAGCATCGACAGCCGTCTCAGCGGGATCGACCTCCGGTCTTGGGAGGGAGTGATGTGGCGACGCATGCCACATGTCAACGGATGACGTCACAAGAATCCTACATCGCACATGCAAAGTTTACAAACGAATAAACACAGATAGAAAATCCCAACGAACAACTGTTGGGCAGAAAGCCCGCCAGGCACGATCACCTCGCCTGGTCGGAGGATCCTCCTTTTCCGATCTTAGGGAACTATACACTCTGTTCCCTAAAATACTATTGAGTTCCCAAAAGGGTTTGGCTATTCAGAGGTATTCAGAAGTCTGTGTATGCTAATAAATAATATATTAAATAACTAAAGTACAATATTTTTAAAATAGTCTATTATAATATCATTTGAATTTTAAGTACAATGATATCATAGTTAATCTCGCTATTCGTTTCAACGCTAATTGTTATATTCTTCCGTGAGTCCCAAAAACTGAAATAGTACAGTTGTATTTTCATTTATTAATAACTAAATTGTAATGATCTAACTTAAACAATATTTCTACCTGGATGTTATTTTTTAATAATACAATTTCGACAATAGAATTGTTTGCCACCGCCAGGCGATATTGATTGCGCAAATGCCGCCTCCCCAAGGTTCGAGGCCAGAGATAAGACCATGTCAATTATTTCATATTTCTTTTGTCTCTATATTCGTACATATTTTATAGGTTTTCATTTTATTTTGTACTACGTATGTACTGGAACCTTTTTTGATATAATTATAATCATCTTACCTATGATGAAATCTATTTAGTTAGAAGTTAAGAAATAAGCAAATCCCCAAGACAAAGGGGAAATTATTAATATCTAACTTGTATAATCTGTATAAATCTTTATTAAGATTTACACAGATACAGAGAGAAAACATAATCTATATTAAGATTTATACAGATTCCCGTTAATTCAAAATTGTTACCTCCGGTACCGGTCACACGACGCAAGTGTTGTTTCACGTCAGTTTTTTGTGAGGCCGTGGTAGCACTCTGGTCTGGAGCCGGCCCATTCGTGCGGAAGCATGGTGTACACTTATAATTTTATTTTTATTTAGGTCATTTTGATTTAGCTTTATTTTAAAAATACTGTACGTAATTGCTCTCTACCAATATTTTTCGTTGTATTTATAATGTAACTTAGATTATACAAAGTTTTATTTCAATAAAAGTATAATATTCCAATACTTATCAAAGTTTCTACATTAGTACAACTCTAGTGTTACGTAGTGCGGGGGTGTCGGTATAGCAGAAGTAAAGGGCAAAAGACCCACACTCTCATATTGTTTTACTATATTACATAACTTCGAAACTTATGTTATAAACGGAAAAAATATTTAGTCTGAACATAATAACATTTATAGTTACTGTTAATAATATAAAAAAATGTATCAAAAATATCTGTATTATGCATATAATCTGTTTTATGCATAGAGCTCGAAGCGTCTACTGATGCATTAAATCCCGACGAATATTATGAAAGCGAATTGTTTATTTGTTATATTTTTTATTTCTTTTAATTTTGTCTACTCAACCAATCTCTTTATAATTGTCCATACGTATACTTTTTAAACGCCTAATTATGTGACGAGAAACTCGGCTAGTTTCACGCCATGCTAGAGGCTCATATTCATGAGCAGCATTTCGCAACCCGCGACGCGGCGACTCTCGAGCTACTACTCTCTCTCTCTTTCTCTCTCGTGAGTAAGTCGAAAAACATAATAATTAATTTAGTATGTCTTACGAAAGTTATAACATAAATATATTTTTAAACGGTTTTCTTTAGCTTAACTGTTTATTTGTTTAGGTCAAAAGTAATTGGAATTTCTTCCCTTTCCCGACCACAGAACAATCTGACACATTAAAACCGTTTAACATAAGAAATATTTTATGTGTATTTTAGAAGTACGGAGAAGGACATATTAAAGGCGTGGGTAAAGCTAATTGTAGAATATTTTACAATGTACTTAGTATATAAATATTTTACTGTTCAAGAATGAAATGACGTAATAATACTTTTATTTTTAGCTCTCGGATCAACTGACATTCATCGCAAGTATGAAGATAATATTCTTTGTCGTCGCCCTATTCTTCTTACTGGGTCTGTTTTTATGCAATGCGGGGGAAATAACGTATCAGGTATGACTTTACTATATTTGTGTGTATATGTGTTTGATATGAATACGCAGATGTTGTTTGGTTATGGGGAAATGGAACAGTAAACTGTTTTGTGTTACCTCGCTCTGTAAATAAGATTCTTGATATTTACAATGGTTGCAAGACGGAGTTGCTGTGTATAAGATCTCGGGTTTTGAATCTGATTCTGGTCTAGTCTTATTGGGTATTTGAACTTCACACGTTAGCCACGTCAGTCACTGATACTTAGCTTAGGACCTTCAACAGTTTTCTGTTGGTAGTCAAAAGCTTAATCGCCTATAGCATGGAGTGTCGCAACGTTGGGTCAAGTAGAGCGACGTTGCCTGACTTTGGTCGACATGTCTGGCAATCAACGTCGCAGTGGAAATAAGTCTTGCGTTTTCGCCATATACGGCAGGTGAAATCTGTCGGCATCTTTTGATAATATCGCCGATATAATATGTCGTGCGACATATGTCCCTTAGTGTATCCTTAGCTTAATTGCAGCAGCAGCGCTTTTAGTATCAATAACGTGGACCGTAACGTTCAAGACCCCATGATTCACAATTATTGTATAAAATGACAACAAATTCAATGAAAGAAACTTATAATAACATAACATCACGCCTTTTATCCCCGTAGGGGTAGGCTTTTCACTATTTATGTTACGAGTCCCATGTAATAGGGGGTGAGCCAATTGCCATATACCGGGCACAATTCCAGACTCCGTACTACTACTGAGAATTTTTTAAAAACCCAGTAATACTTTGCCCGACCCGGGAATCGAACCCGAGACCCTTTGCCCGGCAGTCGCACTTGCGACCACTCGGCCAACGAGGCAGTCTTATAATTTGTACTAATAATTTGTATAGCTGTGTGTATATTTATAAAAGTTAAAAGCTATATTGTTTTGTTAATCCCCAATCCGAGTCTCAAGAGGGCTATATCAAAATGGCGACACGTAACTGTATACAGTTGACATAATACAATTTTGGAAACAAAAATATGTCACGGACATTACGGACAAATGTGACATCCGCTAACATCCACAGAAATTGTGGAGTCGGATATAAAAATAAGTTACGACATAAGGTCAGATCCGAGCCATCAACATAAATCACAGTTCTTGTGTACCTACGCTCTTGTTATTTATATTTACCAAGTAAAGAATGATGTTACAAGGTTTGTAAAACCATCATTTGTAAACAAAAAGTATATTATTCTACCACGAAGTTCCTAAGTAAACTATTCGATGAAATTGTTTTTGTGGCATGAATATTTGCGATTTAAACTGTCAAACACCAAGCGGTCACCGGTGACCGCGACCTATTGTTCTTTAATTGTGTCTATAAAACCGGTACTCGACGAGTTAATCGAAAACCAATAAATCGATTGGAATTAATTTCTTAGCGACGAAGACGCGACGCTTAGACCGTCTTAAATTCACAACCCTTAATTGGATTTTCTTACATAATTATAATATTTTACTAAATGCTGTAGGTACGTTGAGTTTTCAAAATTGAGTACCGAAATCGCATTTCGTTATATTAAAGTGATCGTTGAACCTTTTAAGTTCAACGCTAGCGCATTTCCAGTTACATCCTTTGTAATGACATTTTATTCATTTAGAAATCCACTTAGGATAGTTTCAAATTAAGGAATTTCTCACAGAAATCAAAGTTATTATCAGTATAGTACTTACTTATCAAACTTTAGACCCATACTCGACTGGTGCATAATTATATAATCATGCCAAAGCCTGATCAATGGACCAAACTAAGTACAATAGGTGCAATAGGGAAGATGACTAATTTTTTTTTTAATGTCTGTCTGGTAAATTATTTAAAAAGACATTAGACACGTATTTTTATTTTCTTACGGAAACAAATAGTTTCGAAGATATATTGATTCGATATGTCGCATACTTTTGAGTACGACTTATACTCTAAAATGACGTAGCTACTTCCCACTCCTAAACTTTTTCATTACCTAACTGACGCACTAATTAGATTTTTAATGTTCATACCCTGTCATCATCCCTATTGGACGAACCAAAACAGTATTATACAAAACAATTTTCTTCCTGCCAAAGAGTTATTTATTCATATTTTCCAGGCTTCACAAGTATCCGATGCTATCTTCTATTGCGGTTGGCATACTTGCCCACTGCGTCCAAAGTCGGCTCCACGACGCAATATAAGGCAACTGGTACTTCTAGCAGTCATGCAGGCACAGCGCCCCTTGGTGATGAAGGCCTTCAAGATGTTGGAACTTACTTATGGAACCTTTTTACTGGTTTGATATATTTTTTTAATTTTGGTTAAAAGTAAAAATGATACATGCATATACGTATATCACATATACATATAAACACATATCTATCACCAAGTGGTATAGGTAGAGACAGTAGAATATCGAATGACAATATTCTGGCATTCCACTTTTCATCAATTTCTTTATTCACGTCCATAGATTACCAGTTCTGTTTATTTTAATGATGAGCCTTAAACAATTTTTCTCTTATTTTTCTCCAATGTATACTGAAGTGTATTCTAAAAAACAAATCTGTAAACAGTGGAGCCTACGTCCAAAACACCAGGAATAATTCCAGATTTCAAAATTCGTGATACTTGTTCTAAAGTATAAATTGCTATTGAGAACATACAATTCTTGGTACTCCAAGTTGTTTCTTGAAAATTGTTGACTTGTAATGAATTAATACATTGTTCTACATTTCTTGGCCTTTATCCAATTTGATGTAGGTTGACTTTCTTAATTAGTTTTAACTGGAACTACTACTATATTTAACTCGTCGAGTACCGGTTTTATAGACACAATTAAAGAACAATAGGTCGCGGTCACCGGTGACCGCTTGGTGTTTGACAGATTAAAGAAGAGATACTATGCTCTCCATAATAGAATGGAGATGATGTCACTGTATACTTTGGTAAGAATTGTTTTTATAATAACTATCGTGAGACATACTAAATGAACTAAAATCTCGGGTTACTCACGTGAATTTGTGTGTGAGGCGAGCGCCAAAGCCAGCCAGTGAGATTCGCGACGTTGCCGCGACCGCGCACGCTACTCATGACGAAGACCCCTCTGTGGTTCGAAACTAGTAGAGCTTTTCTCAGTAAATTCACGTAAGTAACCCGTGATTTTGGTAAGAATTGTTCTTTATCGTTGGATTTTCAAGGTACAGCGCTAAACAGTTACTCAGATGAGTCGTTCATTGTAGCTATTCATAACAGTACATCTGTACTGTTATCTCATCATCATCAACTCATCATCAACTGTGTATGAATAGCTACAATGAACGACAGTTGTGTTGGTCAAGTATCAATAATGACATAGATACATACATAACCTCACGCCTGTCTCCCATGAAGGTAGGCAGAGACTATGGAACGCCAATAGCTACGATTCTTACATACCTCTTTCGCTTCATTCTCAATCATTAATCTTTTATGTGTTTATTTATTTATTTTCTTTTCATGCATACTCGTCGGCTAAGGGTCAATAATGACTTGAATTAATCCAATGCAGGACAACAATAAGTCTTAAAGCCGGTTCCACACTGGCTGAATAGTCACGATTTAATACAGAAAGAGATTTTTAGGAACTATTATAATATGCCACATAAGTTTATCGTGTACATATGAAGGTGGAGAAATAGGCCCTTTTTATGGCATAAGCCGGTAAACGAGCAGACAGATCACCTGATGGTAAGCAATCGGCGTCGCCCATCGACACCTGGAACTTAGGAGTTTGAGGATCGTTGGGGATTCAGGAATTGGGGTGATTGGGGAAGGGGAGGGTAATTAGGCCTCCGGTAACCTCACTCAGACGACGAAATACAACGCAAGCGTTGCTTCACGTCTGTTTTCTGTGAGGCCGTAGTATCACTCCGGTCGACCCGGCCCATTCGTGCCGAAGCATGGCTCTCCCACACTTAAAATTATTAATTACTTATTGGATTGGCCCTTTAAATTTGGTAGTCATCATCCCTCATTATCAACAGCGTATAAATGCCCACTGCTGAGCAAAGCCTCTTCTCACACAAAGAAGGTTTGAGCATTAATCACCACGCTTACTCAATGCGGGTTGGAGATTTCAAACTTATAATTAGAAATTATAAGTAAGCTAAGGTTTCCTCACGATTTTACTGGTGTTGGTACCTTCCGCTGATAGGTTTCGAACCCACACGAAGGTGTGGTTTAAACCTCTGGGCCACCACGACATTTAAATACGAAATAATGAAATTTGGTAGTAGATTTGGTTTATCGGCCTAAAACAGAACTAATTTTAAATAGATAGGTGAGTCGGTACTTGTTGAACACTTCTGCCTACACGTTTAAGAAATAAAGGACGTTATGTTATATCACACGTAAAGCAACAGTAGGTTGTTTAAAGCAATCAAACAAAACTTTCCACTTGGGGAAGTATGACAGTAATTTGTTTGTCTTAAGTTGAAATCACATCAGATTTGTAATTAAAAGTTTCAAAATGTCGCATTTTGTGATTCTTTTGATGTTAAGTGATTTACTTAGGTGACTCGGAAATGATGGTGCCAGTCGACCATAATATTAAACTGAAAAGTACCCTTGTGTTTATTTAATTAGAAAATTTTTCTTTTATAATATTATCTTGTTTTAAAGGTCGGGAATACAGCTACTAAAATTAGAGATGTATTTCCGGGTTGATGCGTCTTGACTTGAAAATGTCAATGTATTATTGTGCCCTAAGTTAAGTAGGTTGGCACTTGTAACTTGAAGCTCTCAATAACCGATTGTATTACACACCCGTATAATTATGAGGGTGCTGATGATATACCTATATACATACATAGGTTATACATACGTGTAACAAAGCGATAAATATTTTTGTATCTGCAGATTTTTCTATATAAACTTGGGATAGACGGCATTAGCTAATATTTCCCATTGAATTTAAGTCATACGGTGATATACGGAGCCGAGACGTGGAGACTGACAGTGCGATTGGTCTACCAATTTAAGGTCGAGCTATGGAGAAGGCTATCCTCGGAGTCTCTTTAAAAAATCGAATCTGCAACGAAGTGATCCAACAAAGAATCAAAGTTATCGATATAGCCCAAAATATTAGTAAGCTGAACTGGCAGTGGGCCGGTCACATTTGACAAAGAACTAATAACCGTTGGGGTAAACGTGTTCTAGAGCGGAGACCGCGTCTAGGCAAATGTAGTGTAGGGTGCCCTCCAGATAGATGAAGCGACGACATCCACATGATGGCTGGCAGTGGTTGTATGAGAATACCTGAAGACCGAGCTCAGTGGCGTGCCATTGGAGAGGTCTATGTCCAACTGTGGATGAACATGGACTGATGATGATGACGATGCATGAATTATTGATTTTATTAAATGTCCGTTGACTGTTAGAAACTGACAATGCTGTACATGGGTACTTCCTTTGGGAGAAACATAAAACAATCATTCCATTCGATAAGGGTATAGAGGAATATGTCGCGAATCTTGTTCATAGGGATTCTGAGTGAATATCGAGTTCTGATGTAAATATTATGATAGTATGACATAACATCACGCCTTTTATATTCTAATGTATGGACAGAATAGAAGGACATATAACAATGTAAATAAATAAATACGCTCACTTTCATCAATATGCATTTTTATATCGAAAAGCCAAAGTTACACTTAGTTTAATTTCATAATGGGTTTGAAAACATAACATTATTAAGTACATATTATACACATATATTGATTAAGTACATTTCAATGGATTTGCTATAGTTGACGACTGCAGTCATGCGACCAACTTCAACCTCCTCTTTTTTGAAGTCTGTTAATTAATATACTCAAACCTTATCCTAAGTGTAACCTTTTTTTTCTGAAATCACATCTAAATCAGTCCAGCCAATCGCGAGATAATGCCGCACAGACATGCATACATCCAGACCAAACTGAGAACCTCCCTTTTTTCTTTTTGTAGTCGGTTAAAACATCGTTGAACCAACCACTTTTATAACACTTTAATCTCAATACCCCACAGTACGGATTACAGTTTTCATTTAAATATACCGAATGGATATAAAAGTTCCATTAATCGATAATCGTATTAAGCCTTTAAGTTTCAAAAGTACTGGCGTTCAGTGAAATGCGCAAAACCTACGTAAATATTAATTCATTATTTCTGGTCATTGCGCAATGATTTTATTTTAATTAATTGCTTATCGTTTCAGGTGGTGCGTTCTACGTATTCGGTTTTTGCTTTGTTTTATGCGCAAACTTCGTAAATTACCTGTGTTTAGTTACTTCATTCGTGAAGTTGTTTGCAGTAACTTTGTTATGTAGAGAAATAACTTAGTATTATAACATACAGCAATGATAGCAGTAATATTATTACATACAGCCACTAAATGAGAATCGATGATTTTGTACCGCACCAATACTTATTATTTTAATTAATTGCTGATGCACTTTTGACGTCAAACGATTTCGCAAGTTGTTATTTATTCAATAAATTGTAAAAATGACCATTCTATTATCCTACTTCGAATTAGATTCATCATTCATAGGGTTAATTTTGTATTAATTATTAAGTAATTAAATTCATTTCAAATCATTTCGGTTTTTTTTCGATTGTCCGATTGCAGTAAACGTAATTTAGTATTTAGCTTTGTTTATTTATTAGACCACGTCTAGGCAAACGTTATATAGGGCTACCTCTTAGATGTATTAACGATATTTGAAAGGAAGCTGGCGGGGTGCGAGGAGCTGAAGATGCAACTGCTGAGAAGAAGTTAGTGATTATGGAGATGGTGTACTTATTTTATTTTTATTTATTTATTTATTTATTTATTTATCGGTTTATGCACAACACACAGACAGTACACAGGAGAACACATATATAAATATTTTGGAGGTACATAGGTACTACATATTCCCGAAGGAATCTCTTCCTGCAGTCCTTTTACGTTATAAAGCCAATGTTTTACCTTTTGATATCTAGAATTAAACTTTCAAACACCGAGTGGTCACCAGTGACCGCAACCTATTGTTCTTTAATTGTGTCTATAATGACGGTACTCAAGTTTCGCGAGAGAGAGAGCGCGGTGTTTGACAGTATAATTTAAAGTAACTCTAGAATTAATGTAACTGTAATCGCTGTTTAGTTGGTAATATGAAATAAATATAGATTTATTTATTTAAATAAAGGAAGACTCAAGTTACACCAAAAACAAAGCAACAGTGATTTATTTATCAAACAAGAGAAAGACCTAGAAAATGATGTAACACACACAGCGCCCTGGAGACGCAGCTGTACATTCGACTTCAACTTTTTATACATTTAGCTCTCCCTATTTAGTTCTCAACATACTTATTGTATTTCTTGTTGAGTAAGTTCAAAGAAATAAAACGCTCTGTTACTTTAACGAGTCTCCTAAGACATATTATGGATAGTAAAGTACAAAGAACATGTGCTGTTTACGCACTTTAGTAGTTGAATTAATTTAAACTTTAACACAATTTGAATATAGTCCTATATTAAATGTAACTTTTATCAATAACGTCTCGCGTTAGATGTACCTTTTAGCAAACTGTGGACCATGAATTGAGAAGAAATTAAATCAGATTGACTTTTGAAAAGTTTAAAAGCTATTTGATTTTGGAGAGTGGTTTTACTTGAAACTGCCTTTGATATTTAAGTAAAAGTAATGAAAAAAGGAGGAATAAATCAATTTTGTACAGCAAAGGTACTTGTTTCTTTATGTGGACCGATGTCTGTACATCGGTCGTATCGTGCTCAACTTACGGTGTCACGCACTCATAAAAACAAGATTGCAAATTCCGATAAATCTGTTATCGTTAAGATTACTGTATCACATACATATGCAAATATGGAACATTTCAATGTTACGCATTGCGTGTTAGGAATAAGTTTATGAATAAATAAAACGCTGAAAGATTTACCTATGCTTAGACATACGCATAATATCCAACGCATTTACGTAACAACGAATAACAGTGTATACCCTAATACTTACTTGCAAATCGTACGAATATTCTAGAAACATGTGATCTATAAAAATGTTCGTAATATCTGCGACTGTTTTGGTTATTGACAGTAAAAGCTGAACTGAAGTCCCGTTCTGAGTTAGACTTCCGCAACATGATATTAACTATTATTTGCATGTTGATATTTATTCATCATAATCAACAGTCTATACTGCTGAGCAAAGCCTCTTCTCACACGGAAAAGGTTTGAGCATTAATCACCAATTAACACATTAATCAGCATTGATTGGCGATTACAAACTTATAATTAGAATTTGTTATTATTTTATAAATTAATTAAACTTTTAATTAGATATTTATTATTATTTTATATTTAGAAAAGAAAGACGTGTTAGTTACACTATTTACAACTCAAGAAGAAAATATTTAAATCTATTTGATTGAAAATTGGTGAGGCTACAGCTTAGGAGAATCAGGAGACGGTTGTAAAATAATGTTTATTCAAGGATTTTCCGAAAATTTTACAGGCACATAAAAAACGGGATTGCGCGTACAAAGTCGTGGGCAGAAGCTAGTTGTTAATAATACAGTCATATGTTACCTAATAAATCTGTTATCACTCTTATTAACGCGTGATATTCTGTGATATAATATTTGCCTTTTATTCCCGACACATAACTCGTTCCAGCCGTGTTAATATTTCGAGGTTATAATAACACAAGTCCGAACCGAAGCGTGGCTCGTACGTAGGTATGTTTCGTTTACGTACAGAAACTGGAAGGGGTTAGATTAAAGTTTTGCCTCCGTGATATATTACGTGCCGCGTGTCGCATATTCGTTATATGGGTCCGGTTTACTATTGCTCTCACTTTCCAAGACCAAATAAATTTTCCTCAGAAACGGAAATATAAGAAAAGGTATGAAGAACCCAGAAATAACGTTTTATGGGGCTACATTTTATGGGGCGAATTGGTTGTGTGGTTGCAAGTGCGACTGCAATGTGTTCTGGAATTTAGTCAGACAAAAGTGTTTTTGGTTTTTAGTAAAAATCTCTTAATAACAAGGAGAATGGAAATAAATTTCATAATAGACGTTATTTTATGAGTACGCTTACCCCTTGATTACGGGAAGATCTGACTTTAGGCACTTGTCACACCGCTGCCACAGAAATCGACTATTTTCTCGCCCAAGAAACTTATAATAGATTTCATACATTCCGTGTAAACAAAAGAGAGTGAGCGACTGTTCACACTACAGGCGAGCAATCGCAGGAGCAACTACTGGAACTATACGCACTCGTTCCCCGCGAGCTGCCAAGTCGTTTCCAAATCTAGTTCCAATCGTTACTCATCCATCGTTGTGGTGAGCCAACTGCCTCACCAGCAACGATGTTACCTTCACGTTTTACGGATTTATTCTATAAATCGTTTGAAAGTCGATATTTTTCGAATGCAAATTCGGTGTTGAGGGGTAAAGGTCAAGAGAATTGCATAAAGAAGAATCTTGTTTTGATGAGCGATGTTTTTATATTCGATTGAATGGTATATGCGAATCGAGATAACGATGGTATCTCTCGTGCGATCAGAATATTCCGTTTGATCAGATATTTATATTTGGGTCTATTTGCGCAGGTAAACATTTGATTGATATCATTTTTTTAGGATATAATACGCATACATTACTGGGTGAACGTTGTGGACGTATGGTGTATTATTTATCTTTGATCTTATGTCTGTTTGTTGCCCTTGTACCTTATGAAGTTCAAACTACACATAAACTTTTCTAAATTCATATATTGTACCAACATACCTCGCAGACCCTGTTATTACATAGTTATTGTTAGCATTATGAGCATTTTTCTTTCGAAGTCATAAGTAGTCTGCTTGTGTTATGGCTACCTAAAACAGGATACAGAGAAAGTGATTAATAATCATATCTAACAAAAGTAATAACTTTGTCTATACTGCAATGTTTCTTCATGTTTTATCATCATTATAATTATGATTTAGGGTCAATTTTCAATCATCACTTAATTCTTAACTGTAGAATAAAATTGGCATTGTATAGTTTTTAGTATGGAAGAATTGTCAAATATTCAAAGCTATTTCTAAATTGCGAATGAACTGGTGATTGAATATTCAGCCGTTAGAGTTAGACATACTAGACATACGGTAAACAAAACGTTATTGTTCCTGTTTGATTTATTACTTTCGTTTGCATACACAGACGTGGCAACAAACCATATAAAATATAATACGCTTCCTCAAAACCGTATCACAATATTTACGCAATAAAAGCAAAGATACTCCCGATAGGTTTGGCCCGTGATGAAATCGAACGGACTACTAATGTTTTCATTCCTCATCTCAGTATTCATAGTTATTCACGTATGCGGCTCACATGTGAGGGCGCGTTGCGTGGCGCGCGGAATCTTTTTTCTTCCGCGGCGAATAAAAAAACTTTCGCTGCCATAAAAGTATATGAGTTCGTCCCAATACTGCGTCGATGACTTCCAATCTCTCTGTAGCGTCCCGACCCAACCCTGAAGATTACTTTTTCTCCTTCATCCAGTAAATTGAATTAAAATGAGAAGCAAACGGGTAAAGGAAAGGGTGCACGTCGATTTTCACAAGAGCTTCGAGTTTAACGTCCGATACCTACCTCGAGTTCTTATTGTCTTTTCATTTTAAAATGGTTTGCACTTTAACCTTCACGACAACTTGAAATATGAACAAATGTTATGCAAAAATCAACCTTAGTGATTAACTTATACGGCAAAATATGGTATGATAAAGCATTAATGTTGATTAGCACTTTAGTACAATTAATTAATTGTGTGACAACGATATAACGTAAGTAATTGAATAAAATTAAATTGTATAAGTGATTAATACAAATTTTAATATATTCATGATTAACAGGATAATTGCAATTTAATGTCAGGCTCTTGTTAAGTTTAATACAATTTTAATCATTGTTACAGTTAGGTTGGAATATGTATTAGGCATGGAAACCACTATATTCACATTAGCACAGTTGAATACAAATCGAGCTAATTTGTACTAGATGTAATGGTTCATTTCTATTCTAGAAATAAATGAAAATGTAGTAGATATGCATATGCATAGAGCACGTATATCTATTTCGTAACTGAAATTCTTTGTACAAGGTAAGTTACATAGTTTGATATGCTTATATTGATAATAATGTTATTATTAAACCTAAGTAATTTAGTACTATTACGTTTAAACACCATGTGATCAAATTTTAGGACCAC